ATGAATGCAGAAATAATTTTCTGGTTTGACGGCACCTGCCTTAAAACAGAGATCGACTAACATTTGAGGACAGAGCTCAGGGTGTGTACACTGAGAATCAACTTCAACACGACGCCGCTTTCGCCTTGACACCTCGCGTGACAGTAGTCGTGGCTGTGTGACATTATCTACGTAAAACTTAAATGGTCGAACAAGGGAAGCCAGAACTGCAGTAACAGTTACATTCACGACTATTGTTTCGTTGTTGATGTTTTCAGGCAGGAAAACTACTTGGTCGTTAACTTGCAGAGGATTTGTATCTAAAAAGAAAACGAAGCAAGTCTCAAATGTTTGATAGGAAAGGAAAGGAAAGGTGTATGAAAAGTCAAATGAACCTTAGCGCAGTTTTGTTGCTGCCATACCTGTGCAGTTGGCTTGGTTTGTCATTCTTGTCTTACCAAATGTTCCTGTATTAACTGGACAAGTCTTACAATATTTTTGTCCATGTTCATCCTGATAAGTGTCAGAAGGACAAGAGACACACGAACGGCCAGTGACGAAGTGAAATCCAGGCAAACAACCTGAAAAAGTGACAAAATTTGTTTGAAACGTTTGAGAAAAAAAACACAAAGATTCTGTCCAGTGTCAAAGGATTTTTCAAGGAGAGGGATTAAGGGACGCGGACACTGTTAGGAAGGGAAGTCAGAACTTTAGTAAAAGTAACATTCGCGACTATCTTTTCGTTGTTGATATTTTCAAGCAGGAAAACTACTTGGTCGTGAATTTGCAGAGCATTTGTATCTAAAAAGAAAACGAAGCAATCTCGAATGTTTGATAGGATAGGAGAGGTGTATGTAAAGTCAAACGAACCTTAGCGCAGTTTTGTTGCTGCCCATACCTGTGCAGTTGGCCTTGTTTGTCATTCTTGTCTTACCAAATGTTACTGTATTAGCTGGACAAGTCTTACAAGACTTTTGTCCTTGTTCATCCTGATAAGTGTCAGATGGACAAGGAACACACGAACGGCCGGTAACGTGGTGAAATCCGGGCAAACAACCTGAAAAAGTAACAAAATTTGTCTAAAACGTTGGAGGGAAAAAAAACCAAGATTCTGTCCAGTGTCAAGGAGAGGGATTTAGGGACGAGAACACTTTTGGGGATTTTACCGCGCTTGCGTTTAGTACTAATACCACTGCACAAACCGTGTGTATCATTTTATTGGTGGAATGTTTATTTCTTTCAAAATAGAAATGAAAATCCTTACCGCAACTAGTGTTTGAAACCTTGATTGAGCCAACGGCACAGCAGGGCGGCAGTATATCCCCACCACAGCATGACTTCTTCTCCATTGAAGACTGTTGGTTAATTTGGTATGTGGTTTTGTTTTGAGTTATGTTTGGAGCACTTAGGTCTATATATCCTTTTAAGGAGACATTTGCAGCGTTTACACAGGTTGTAACATTTATAGCCACTTGATCATCAGCTATGTTATTTGATGCTGTAAAAGTAAGTGGTACTCGGAAGTAAACAAGACTAACTCCTGGTGGAGATGATGTTATATTTCCGATTGTGATTATCACCTCTTTGCATTGTTGAAGAGAAAGATATAGATTTTGTACAACCAGAAAAAGATTTTGAAACTCCCCTATGACATTTCTGGTGGTGTTGACGGTAAGGCCTCCTGGGATTCGATAATTGAATATGACGTCTAGTACATAGCATCGTTTGACGTCGTAGTTACCAATCAATGGAGGGTCTGCAAGGAAACACGAAGTACAGTGAGAGGGGATCAGCCCCTAGCGGGAGGGTGGTTAGTAAACTTTATCGTGACAAAACCAAATCTTCCGACCCCCCCCCCCTCCCCCCGCCACCCCCGCGATAAATATTGACCAGTCGTTGCCCGTCAAAACTCAGTTCCTGACTTTGAATTGACTTTCGAAAGTAATCTAAGACTGCTTTGGTTTTACTTAACTTTGCTCTGTAATTGGTCCAGAAAGTCACACCATCCTCTCAACCAATCAGATGCAAGACGCACCCTCAAGCAGTTTGGTTATTTTCACTTTGAGTTCCCATTGGCTACTGATAATGTAAACCTTAGTTCTGGTTTGTCGCTGGGATTACTTTAGTTTTGGTCTTTCGAAAGTAAATTGAAAACTTTTTTGAGACCGATTGTGCAAAATTTGGAAAGGAAGCATCTACCACAACAGTTTCAGTGACAAGGCACTGAAGGAGACAAACAGCACTAAATGTATGACGCTAATCAAGAGAAATGAAGAAAACGGAACTGATACTGGAAGGTATATCCGAGCTCAAGTGCGCCCTCCTTTTTCCTAAAAACCCTATTTTACCGACACGTTCCCTGATATTTAAGGCTCACCTAGGCAGCTGGAATTGCTGGTCATTGCTGTTTTTCCAAATGTTTGTTTTCTTCCTGGACACTTCTTGCATGAACTTTGACCTTGTTCGTCCTGATAGGTGTCTGAAGGACAACGCTGACATAAACTGCCAGGAACAAAATGGAACCCTGGCAAACAACCTGCAGAAAGGAGAAAGAACTCAGCTTAGAGACGGATCAATATTTTCAACTGGTCAACTCTCCATGGGTCAACTACAAATAAAATCCATATGCTGTTTAAACTTACCACATTTACTACTTGACACATTGACTGAGCCCACGGTGCAACAGGGCGGCGGTATACTCCCACCACAGCAGGATCGCTTCTCGGATATAGTGGATGTATTGTACGTAGTATGAGTGCCATTTTGGGATATACTCGGAGTGTTGCTGTCGATAAATCCCTTATAACTTGCCGTCAGGGTACTTATACAAGCTGCAATCTTTGTTGAAATTTGACCATCTGCTACATTTGTTGATGCAGTAAATATCATCGGTATTGTAAAAAATATACTTTTCACTCCCGGTGGAGAGCTGAGTATATCTTTCCTGGTGACCATGACATCACTGCACCCTGGTTGATGTGAGAGATGGCTGAGCACTTGTTGAAAAAGAGAAGAAAACTGCACTTTGGTATTTGTTGTGGTGCTATTTGTGAGTCCTCCATCTATTTGATAGTGAAATGTAATGTCAACTTCGTAACACCTCATGATGTCGTAGTTAGCGATCAGCGAAGCTTCTGAAATCAAAGAAAAGTATTACTGCGAAATAGTTCATCTATGCTTATGGTCTAAACGAGTAAGGGACTGGATACAAACGCTTTTAAACCTCGATCCTACACATAGAGGTTGGGTAGCGATTTCTACCTCATTGGGCAGTTTTCAATTGAATTTCAAAAAACCCAAAATCAAAGCAATCGCTGCAACCAATCAGAAAAAAAAGGTTTACATCATCATTTGCTAAATGCTTGGAGCGCGGGAAAACGTGAATGACCGAGTCGCGATTGTTTTTAGTTATGCATCTGATTGGTCGAGAGGATGACGTTAGATTTCTGGACCAATCACAGAGCAATTTGTTGTAAAACCAAAGCGATCCTGGATTACTTTTGATACTCAATTGACTATTGTTCTATATAAAATATATTTACAGATAAATTTTGGTTTTATCAACTGAGTTGATAATGTAAATTAGCCACCGTAGAGAATTTCAAAGCTGACGTTTCGGGCGTTAGCCTTTCGCCACTCGCTCTGATGAACGTCAGCTTTGAATCTCTTTACGTTGGCCAATTTGCATTATCAACTCAGTTGATGAGACTGAAATGATCTTTTTATACTCCCGTACCGACGCAGCACCACCTAATTGAAAGTCAATAGTGGACCTCAAAGAGTCGCTCAAAGAAGAAATTTTATTGTAGACGTATCCTTCTAACCAAAGAAAGCTTTCTTTTAATGAGTTTCGAAAGTGTACTGTGTCTCCGTATTAGGTCAATAACACTCGAATTTAGAAAATGCTGTTTCAGATGAATATATGTTCCATACGGTGAATTTTGCTTTTCAGACCTTGCATTTGAAAAAATTTGTTCGCCTAATTTCTTTGATCTCCATCGCGTCCATCACCTCCTCATTCCATGCAATGCATGGTTACCTTTACAATCGTGCGTTGTCGTGCGATCGGCTTGTTAATTAGTGACGTCAGAAATTAATCTATTGCTATATTTAGTAGGACAGCGACATTTTTATTCTAACAAAAAGCGACGGCGACATTTGTCCCTAACCAAACAGGCGACGGTACTGTTGGAAAACAATCAGGCGACAATTAATGAATTTTTGTCCCTGTTTACAATCGAGCGCATCGACATGGCAATGCTAGGGTAGTATTCGACTAGATCTTGAAAAGCTAACAATTTAAAAATAGGTTATAGCGAGTTTACGCAAAATTTGGCTAAAGGCATCACCGGCGTGTTTTCCTGTTTTCCATAGCTGTGCGACGCACGAATGATGGAACGAAAGGCGCCATCAGCGCTGGGATACGTACAAATGTAAGCGGAAAATATCGCCAGGAAGGTGCTCTTGAAAGGACGGGGTTCCAGAAGGGCTTGTAAATTAGGTCAGGCTTTTATTTAAACCTGGCATTGAGCTTAAAACTCAAAAGCCAAACGCTGACTACACTGAATTGTTTAATTTGTCTTCCTTCCTAGCATATTTTGATGCAATTAAGAAGGTGCCTTCTTAACATGTAAATTTGTCTCTCAAAATGTTTTTGATGCTAAGGAATCGTGTTATCTATGCTGATCTCGAAACGTAAAAACAACTTATTGATAGCTTCAACGAAACTTTATTGCGTTTAGATAGCATTATAACCCCCCATTGTCTCGCCCGTCTCGGATGATAAAATCTTTTTCAGCTACACTGTACAGTTCTCGTAATCAAACAGTTAAAAAAATTTAAAAAATGCTACACTGAACTAAATAACGACATTGCCAAACACTAATGGTCGATACAATCCGTAAGGAGAGACGTTAATTTACATGCGTTTTTGCTATGCTCCATCGACACGGCATTTTAAAATTTAGGCATACAATGAATGTCACTTCTAGAGTATCATCGCTTTGTTTTTAGTCTCTAAAATTAACGCTTACCCAACCCGTCAATTCAGACAGGCGGCTCTATTGAATTCTAGCATGTTATGCAAGATTTACCGAGTTTGCGACCAAATTAATAAAATCGCTATTGTCACTGACAAATTGTTAAGAGTAAAAATAAATCGATTATTATAAATTATTACGTAAGGTGAACGAAGTTCAACAACGTAATCACAGGCATGAGACACTGAAATTTCACAATATACTTCCGCTACAAAAGTTTCGTCGATAATAGTATTAATTGCGATTTTTTCGCAAGAAGAGTGCTGTAACAACTACCTAATCCATCAGCAAATTACGACTGAAATTTCTGGAATACTTTTTTTTGGCAAGCATTTCTCGATAAGTGCTTGAACACAATTCTTTGCTTACATCAAGCGCATGAAGTTACTCCTGAATTAAGTAAGCCCGCAGGGATGTAAGGAATCAGAGCGGCTTTCGAACACGAAAACAATCATTCGCTCTCCGTATCATTTATTGCCAATCTTACACAGGCTTTTTCAAGAAGAAAAGAACCAATACAGAGTATTGCAAAACTACAGAAGTAACAACAAACAGCGATAACGTTCGCGAATGCTATCGCAGCAATACGTTTTCACGCGAAGTAGTTCGTTTGCTGATGTATGACTATTGGAAATAACAACCATAAAGATCTTTGGTAACAGTTGTGCAATGTAGTTATTTCTTCTATGATAAGACAATCTCCCATGGCGGGGGGATTTATCGGTCATACAATATCAAATACTCATGTTCGTACAAGCACATCAATAAAATCTTACTAACCTGATGTAGATGGTGTTTGAATAAAGAACATAAACAAAGTTGAAGACAACACAAATGTTCTTTTATCGTACATCCTCTGTATCCTGGTCAGCCGATTTGAAGAGCGTTTAAAATATTCAAGTTCCGACCTTCCTCTCTTGCAAACGTTCTATAAATTATCTTGCGGGTTATTTCATCTATATATCTACTTCCTTTTCGGGTCCAGTCTCTTTACTCTTCCTTGTTTCCTTGATGTGCCATCCGCTCCAATACTTTTCACTTCTCTGATTGGCTTATGACCATTTTTTAATTTTTTTTTTAAACCTCGCTTTGCTGAGTCTTTGTAAGGCTTGTCGTCGAACCCAATCCTTCCTCGGTCAATTTCTTGGACACATATATTATCTCAAATTATTTTTGACACTTTTGATGTTTGACGTCATTTTTTTTTTTCGGAATTGGAAATGAATTTAGGTCACAGTGACAACGCGACGCACACATTCCAATAATATCAAAAGCAACAAAGCGATGCCTCAGCGGTGATGCTCTCTTAA